AGCAAGGGTTTGCAGGATCCGAGATATTTAACTCGGGAGAGACCCGCCTGGTGCCTCGGAGGAGACATGACATCACGTCACGGCGACGAGTAACGTGGAGGGGGTGGGGGCGGGGGGGTCCCGGCTGGCAGCACCCTGGGATTACAGCCACTGGGCGGAAACTGCAACTGCAAGGAGGCAGGCTCATGCTCAGTAGAAGCAAGAAACGCCCTCCCCTCGGTCCTGCCAAAACAATGGGAAAGCCTGGTTTTCGTAAAGTGCTGATAATAAATCAGCAATAGGGCACGTTCACATCTATTAGGTTGAACCACGTAGAGTTGCTGATGCTCGACCATCTCTGACCTAGAAAAACAGCACTTGCGTGAGTTTCCTCATCTCAGAGCCACCCCAGCCCTCTGCTGGCCTGCAGGCCCCCGAGCCCCGTCCCCACCTCCCGCACCCCAGGGCACCCCCAGCGGGCTCCTCGCGGGGCCGTAGACCCTCACACCTCCGTTCTGCTGCGGGACCTTTGCCACTGCAGGTGCCTTTGCCTAGAACATTCTCTCCGCAAGCTGACCCGGGCTCTTCTCATCCTGTACACCCCCTCGTCCCGCCCACCCTGCCCCCCGCCCGCTCGCCCCGCGGTGTCACCCTCCACCCGCTGTCCTCCATCGTCCCCGGGAGCGCCACGGGAGCAGGCGCCCTGTTGCCCTGCAAACTCCCCGGGTTTGGAACAGTGCCCACCCCCCGGTGAACGTGCAGTACGTATATTTGGCGAGAATGAAGGACTGATGAGTGTCAACCAGTGACCCGGGGCCTGGAGGGGTCACATGATGTTCCCAGCGGCTCCGAGCACCTGCCTGGAGGGGCCGAGGAAAGCCCCGGGACTCAGATCCCCAAGCACAGACTCTCGAGAAGCCGCCCTGCTCTCGGAGACCAAGTGTCTTGATGCACAGACTGTCCCGAGGCCGGATAAACACTCCTGCTCCAGGTGCAGAGGAGGCGGAGTCCCGCGGGGCAGCCTCGACTCTCGGGGGTGCAGACCCCGGGGCCACCTCTGCCGGGGAAGCAGAGTGCTGGTCACCTCCAGAAACCCACGACCAGGTACCGGGCCACGGGGTGGGCACGGCGCCGCCTGAGGGGCACTACCGACCGGGGCCTGTTATACGGGAACGAAAAATATGAAATGATCCCCACTTGGCAAATGCGTGAGGGATGTATTTGCCTGGCGACAAATGAGGGAGCAGTGCCAAGTAGAGAGGGGCATGGAGAGGGCAGGGAGTGGGACAGGGAGAAGGATGGGAGAGGAATGGGAAGAGGCCGGGGGAGAGGGATGGGAGAGGGGCGAGAGAGGGATGGGGAGAGAGATGGGTAGAGAGACAGGACAGGGATGGGGAGAAGGATGCAGAGAAGAACGGGAGAGGGACGGGGATAGGGACGGGAGAGGGACAGGGAGAGGGACAAGAGATCCTCTGGCTCCTGTGCGAGGAGGCACCTGGGGGCAGGTAGTCACCGCATAAGGATGGGGGTGAGGAGACGCCCGGCCTCCGCCTCAGGTGCTGGGTGTGCAGACAGCTGGCCTCCCGGGTCAGATGTGGGGGGACACAGAGGCCACTGCCCGCCATCTGCTCTCAATGGGGCCGTCAGGACACAGCATGAATGGGGGTGGCAGGGGGGCGGGCGCTGCGAGTCGCAACTGAGGACATCGGCGTCCGTGGGCGAGCGCTCGGCAGGTGCTGGGGCTCGGGTGCCTCGCCGCCCTGCGAGCTCACGGCATTTTCCAGGGCTGCGCCCGGGCGCTGACCTGTGGGACCCTGCAGGCCCGAGGCACCTGGGGTGGCTGCCAACTGCCCCTACATCCCCAAGGAAAGGGGCCCCAGGGTGCACACTCAGGACCCCCCTTCCCCGGGCAGGGCCCATCATCATGTGGTGACGGCACCTGCCTGCTGGGTAGAGAGCACCGGGGTCATCAGGGAGCCACGGGTCACCTGTGATCACTGCGCCCTGACCCGCACCACGCGGGGCGGCCACGTCCTCCAGTCTGGGCGCTGGGTCGGTGGGACCCGCAACGTCCTTCCATGCGGCCAACGCACGTGGGTCAGTGCAGGGCCCTCAGGGGGGAAGACCTGGGTGCCCGGCGTCCACGGGGCTGACCGTCCCGTCCCCTCCAGGCTGCCCACCATCCTGTCCCCCCTGCAGCTGCCCACTGTCCCGTCCCCCCCGGGGCTGCCCACTGTCCCCTCCTGTCCATCCATCCTCCATGCATGTGCCGGGGCTGAGGCCACCACACAGGGTCATGGGCCCGGACCTCCGGGGGAGTGGCCTTTACAGCTGCGGAGCTTGGTGGTCCCTGCCCGTCCGCAGGCTGGGGGCGGCAGGGCGCCGAGCATCCCGCCTGGACGGCACCTGCCCAACGGGCCTCCACGATGCGCACCTGTTTCTCCTCATCTTTCCTTCCTCAGGCCGTTCCGCTCGCCTCTGGACCCCAAGTGCCACAGCCCGCTTCCCCCCTGCGGCCCCCGGCCTCTCATTCCCGCCCGCTGCCTCTCCCCACGGCCCCTGCGGCGCCGGCCCTGCCTCAGCGGGGCCTCCGCACGTCACCTCCAACCTGCTCGGAAACGGTTGCCTCACCTGTGCGTGCCGCTCAGCTGCGCCACCTCTGTCTGTGCGTCCGTGTCCCCGGCACGCGGAGTGGCCGCCGCGGGCCAGCGCTACTTTGCTTGGCTGTCCCACGCGTGATGCAGACCACAAGGCCTCGCGTGTCTCTGGAGTCATGGCTTTCGAAAAGCATCATCTGAACACAGCCTTTTCTCCCGGTGCGCCTCAAACACGCTTGTGCAACGGTCAGAGCGAAATCCTTTCGGAGGCCACCGCACCCCGGGATTTCGGATTTGTCAGCGGGATGGCCGCGCCGTCCACGGCACCTGCTCCGTCCCCCGCTCGGGACGTCTGCACCTTAATAACTGGAAACGGTCCGGCTTCCCCGCCTCCTGGCTCTTTTGGGATCCGGACTCCAGGCCCCGTCGCCCCCTTTCCTGCCCCAGGAGTGGAGGAGGCACCGGCCTTTCGGGCACGGGGTTGTGGCAGCTGGAGCCTCCCGCTGTTGGCGCCCCGCATCCCTCCACCCCCAGGCCTCAGGGCCCTGCGGCACCGCACCCCAAGTCAGCGCCTGGAGGGGACGCGAGCAGACCGTCCCTGCAAGCGCAACCCCAAGGACCAAATCCCCCCGAGTGTGACCCCGTCACCCCCAGCCTTTAAGTAACCAGAGCTGCCCATGCCTTAAAGGACACAAAACATGGTACTTTTTAAAACATTTATATTTATATATATAAAAAAATTAAATATATATAATATATAGTGTGTTTGAGACTAAAAATATAGTACATAATATTTAAAAAAAAGGAAAATGAAAACAGAGTAGGAAAAGGTGTGAGGGCACACAGACACACGTTGCTAAAAACCTACGATGGTCTGTCCTAACAAAAATAATATTCTTTTCTCTCTTCTCTTAATCGTCATCATGGATCCGTTTATTTTTGGGGTTCGGGAGGACAAAACGCAGCCGGAGCCGGGAGTGGAGGCCGTGACCCCAGGCTGGTCGGGGCAGAGAGCGCGGCCCCACCTCCCGGCGAACGGGGTGCCCCCACCCCAGGTCCGGCCGCTACCAGGCGGCGCCCAGCGGGACTGCACGGCCACTCGGCTGCTCCGTCCCCGGTGGGGGCGTTCCCAGGGGCGGGGGCAGCACCTGACCCCCAGACACAGGTAGAAGGCCGCAGGCCCACCGCCCCGACGAAGGCCAGCGGTCGCGGCGGGCGGGAGGCCAGGGGCAGGGGCAGGAGGCTGGCAGGAATGTGACAGTTCTACGCAAACGGAGCTACTAACATTATTATTATTATTACCGTTATTATTTTTCAGGGCAGGCTTGTACCAGAGCCGCCCATATGGCCTGTGACTGCTGCGCAGCAATGGTTTCTCCAGGGACAGGGCCTGGAGCCCCCTCACAGTGATGCTTGGCGGGCCTGACCCCACCCCGCCCCCGCGTACACCTGGCCGCGCACCTGGCCCCATGCACCTGGCCGCGCACCTGGCCACGCACCTGGTCCCGTGCACCTGGCTGCGCACCTAGCAGAGGGAGCCCAAGGCAGCACAGGGAGGCCAGGGGGGCAGGTGCCTTGGAGGGGAACCAGGGAGGGGGGAGCTAAGTCGAGCTTTGTAGCTTCTTCACAGAAACACGCCTGTCCCAGCACTGTCCCCTGGCGCGTGCGTGAGCGTCCCCGGCTCCCCACCGGCCCCACACGCCGTGACTCCCTAACAGGAAGGGCCCACGGAGGAATGCCTCGCGGACGGGGCAGCCGTGGGGAGCCAGGGCCGGGCCTGGACATGCAGGAGCAGGGGTCCCCACAGCCCACCTGGCTCCATCCTGAGGAGCACAGAGCCACACAGAGCAGGGGGCACGGGGGCTTTGTCCCGGATGCGCCCCTCAATGTGTGGGGCAAGAGGGGTGCAGGGGGGGCCCGCAGGCGGGTCAAGCTGACCTTCCCTCCCCAGGCAGGGCGCCCCGGCCCTGCGGGCTCCTGCCTGAGCTCACCACCACCCTGGGGCTGGGCCCCCACCAGGGCAGCCTCTGTGGCTCCCTGAGTCACACCCGCCTCTGGGACATTCAGAGTCTGTGTCACAACGCTCCGCCCTCCTGGGTCTCCCAGCTGCACGGAGGGGGCAGCGCGCTCACCTCCCCGTGTGCTGGGGGCACCCCGGCTTCTCCGCGCCCAGCGAGGGCAGCTTCCCCTCGGTCCAGGCTGCCCGGAGCCCGGCACCGGGGGATGCAGCCCATGCTCCGGCCTGGCCACACACAGGAGTCGGGCGGGGGCCAGAGGTCGCCCCACACCCACCTCACCGAGGCCTGGCATGCGGCCCCCAGGACACCCTGCAGGCGCGCGTTCCCCACACGTCCAACCAGACGGCCACAGCCAAAGCGCCCTCCCAGAGGAGCCCCTCCTGCGCCCCCCGCCCCGCTGGCATACTGCCCCCCGCTCCCCACCCTGGTGCTGGGCCTCCACCTCCCCAAACGAACAGCAAGACCAGGATGGCAGCCGTCCATCAGACCAGCATGCAAGAGGTGGGGGGCGGGGAGGCCCTGGGGTGCTGGGGTCCCCCGAGCCGTGCCCAGAGCGGGGAAGGGACTCCGCTCACAGGCGTCTGGAAACCCACGGTCCCTGAGCCGTCAGCCGAGGTGGCCAGCGGCTAGCGACCCCGGGCGCCACCGCGTCCTCGTTTCGGCCGAGTGGGCCCAGCACTGACACGGAAAGGGAGGAGTCACAATGTGGCCAAACCCCGAGTCCAAATGAACAGTTTCTGGGATGCTCGTGTTTAAAAAAGCCATCGTGGTGTTCAGAGGTGAGCGGGCCGGGCTGCGCGCGGCTTGTTTCTGCGACGACCGTCAGGCCAGGCAGGAATCCACCCGCACGGGAACCTGCACCCTTCCCAGGCCTGTCCCGGGTTTGCCCAGGGGGACGCTGAGGGAGGGCCAGCTCCCGGGGGAGGGGCGGGCACAGCTGGAGCCCCTGTGGCTGCGGGGGGGGGCACGCAGGGGTAGCCCACGGGCTGGGCATTAGCTGGTCCGTCCCTCCCAGGGCGGGTGAGGAATGTCACCCCGCAGACCCATCCGCAAGGGTGGTGATGGCCTGTGGCTGATGAGCATGTAAGTCGTTAAAGCAAACAGGACTAATGAGTGGTGACCACGAGAGAGGGCACGCGGGTGCCGGGGAGCCCGGGCGGGGGCACAGTTCTCTTTGGTCAGAGGTGGTGGCTGGGAATGGCCGCGTGGAATGTGCGTGTGGGGACAGCATGGGCATGACTGCCTGCAGTGCCCTTCCGCGCCACCTGCCCGGGGTGGCCCTCCCCTCCCCTCCAGGCCCCTTTCCCGCCAACACCTGACGGTGCGTCTGGGGCTGGCGATACCTGTCCCCTCTGGCCCCCCACACCGGGCCCTCGACCGAAGCTGGACACTCAAGGCACTGGAAGTGAAAGGAGGAATCTGATTGGTCCAAGAAACAAAATTAAAAAAAAAAAAAGACACTCAACAACAAACCCAAAGCTGTCTCCAGACACTGCGGCCCGCTCCCCTGGGTGGCAGCCTCCCTGCCAGCGGCGGCGGCGGGACGGCGGGTCTGAGGGCCGGGCCCCTCCCCGAGCCTGTCACAGCCTCTGGACAGGTCTTACCACCTGAATGTTTAAAAATGGATTCAAAGTGCTTGGAAATTCAGAGTAAATGGACGGTGCTGGGAATCTGGCGGAGAACGGGTGCCCCCTTTCCCTCCCATCGGGGCTCTGTGCGGGGGGGCGGGGGGGACTCCCTACAGCTCTTTTGTCTCCCCAAATGAGGTTTTCATTGTTTTTTTTGTTGTTGTTGTTGTCTTTGAAACCTAGCCTGTGGCATCCCACCCCGACGCCACCCGCTGGCACAGGCCCCAGAGTTGAAGCCGGGATGCGGGCGACGGGGCAGGAAGGGGCTCGGGCAGAGGGGTCCCAGGGGGCTGGCTGTCAGCACCCGGTGCCCCCCCCCCCGGCCGCCCCCCCCCATCTAACCGTCTGGCTCTGCACGGACGGGAAAGAAAGCAGCTACTGGAGAAATCTGGATCCTCTGCAGGCCGAGGCGCAGGTCTCCCCACAGGCGCGCGGGTGGCAGCTGGAGAGGGCTGGATGCGAGCTGGGGCGCACCCGCTAACCCGCACCCACTGACCCGAGGTCCCTGCTGCAGCCCGGGAGGGACTGCGAGGGCCGGGCGGGCCACCGCGTTTCCACCCACCTGTGCGCGCGGCCCTCGCGCACTCGGGGCCCCGCGCGCCCCCGCACCTGGCTCCCAGGGGCCGCGCCGGCGCAGGACGAGGGCACAGGTCGGAGGAGACACATCCTCCCGAAGAAGAGGGAAGGGCAGGCCCGGGAGGCCGGGGCTTGCGGAGCACCATCCTCGGGACGGGGTGTTTCCGGGAGACCCGCTCCCCGAAGGCCAGGGCTGCCGGCCGGGCGCGCGCCTACACGTGCGTCTGCATGCGCTGCTGGAAGCGCTGCCCGAAGTCCGAGTGCTGCGACGTGTAGGAGAAGCGCGTGGCCGTCGCGTACTTGCCGATGGGGTCGTAGGCCTCGAACGGGGTCCGCTCCAGCCCGGCCGGCGCCTGCGGGTAGCCCAGCCGGTAGCCCGGGAAGCCGGCCGCCGCGGGGAACGGGTGCGGGCCGAACTTGTCGTAGTTCTCGTAGGACAGCGCGCCCGCCCCGTCAGCGCCCGCGGGGTTGGGGGGCCCGGCGGCGGGGGGCTCCGGCCCGAAGTCGGACGCGGGGGCGCGGCTGTAGGAGCTGAGCTGCGCGTAGCCGCTCGAGTGCGACAGGCGGGAGGCGGGGCGGCCGTCGAAGCGCGCGGGCCCCGGGGCGCGGTAGTCGGCGTAGAGCACGGCCCGGGACGCAGGCCGGTCCTCGTGGGCGCGCACGTTGTAGTAGCCGTTGGTGGGGTCCTGCGGGCGAGGCGGGCGCGGTGGAGGCACGCGAGCCGTGCAGCTGCCCCCCGGGAGCCCGCGCCCCGCCCCAGGCGCCCCCCACCGTGCACACCTTCGCGTCCCCGGAGCCCGCGCCCCCTCCCCAGGCCCCCCCCCACCGCGCGCACCTTCACCTCCCTGGGAGTCATCCCCCCCTTCCCCAGCCACCCCCCACTGTGCGCACCTTCACCTCCCCGGGGAGCCCGCGCCCCCTCCCCAGCCCCCCCAGTGCACGAACCTCACCTCCCCAGGCCCCCCTCAGCCCCCCCCATGCGCGCACCTCCCCGGGGAGCCCGCGCCCCCTCCCCAGCCCCCCCAATGCACGAACCTCACCTCCCCAGGCCCCCCTCAGCCCCCCCCAATGCGCGCACCTCCCCGGGGAGCCCGCGCCCCCTCCCCAGGCCCCCCCACCGCGCGCACCTTCACCTCCCTGGGAGTCATCCCCCCCTTCCCCAGCCACCCCCCACTGTGCGCACCTTCACCTCCCCGGGGAGCCCGCGCCCCCTCCCCAGCCCCCCCAATGCACGAACCTCACCTCCCCAGGCCCCCCTCAGCCCCCCCCATGCGCGCACCTCCCCGGGGAGCCCGCGCCCCCTCCCCAGCCCCCCCAATGCACGAACCTCACCTCCCAAGGCCCCCCTCAGGCCCCCCCCCAATGCGCGCACCTCCCCGGGGAGCCCGCGCCCCCTTCCCAGGCCACCCCCAACCGTGAACACCTTTACCTCCCCGGGAGCTCGCGCCCCTCCCCAGGTGCCCCCAACGTGCGCACCTCACCTCCGGGGAGCCTGCGCCCCCTCCCCAGGCCACCCCCACTGTGCTGTACCTTCACCTCCAGGGAGCCCGGCCCCCTCCCCACCGCCGCCCCCGCACCTTCATCTCGTACTCCTCCCGCGTGTCCATGGCGTCGCAGCGCAGGTCCTGCTTCAGGTCCACATCATCCTTGAAGGACTGCGGAGCCGCAGGACATCAGGGTTGGGGACTCGCCCTATGCCGCCCGGCCCCGTGCCCTGGGGCCCCTGGCTGCGGGGTGGGGGGGTGAGGTGGAGTCTGGGGTCACGGGCAGACCGGGTGCTGGGTGCAAGTGCAGCAGAAACTCTGGGGCCCGTGGGGGCAGAGACCGGAGCTGGTGCCAGCTTTGTGGCTGACGCACAGTGTGACTCCGGGAGTGTCACTGCCCCTCCCTGGGACGGCCCGTCTGAGCTGCCGGGCAGCTGGACCAGAAAACTTCCGGGCGTTTCCAACTCTGACTGCGTGGGAAGGACGGGGCCAAGTGCGGCCTATGGAGGGCGTGGCCTGCAGGTCCTCTGCTACTGGGAGACCAGCCAGGGGAGGATCTGTGCGCACATGCATGTGTGCACAAGCGTCTGTGCAGCTGCGTGTACATGTGGAGCACGTGTGAGCGCACGTACGTGTGTACATGGGACCAAGGCTGGCCCAGGAAGGGACGTGGGGGAGAAGGAGGTCAGTAGAGCCGGGGGGGGCGGGGGTCCCAAGAGCGGGAAGAGGGGAGTGGGGCGGGAGGCAGGGGCCCTCACCGAGTAGATGGCCTTCATGACCCGAGTGGCAGTGGACACGCTGGTAGTGTCATCCTCCCGGTCGGAATGCATCGTGAGCGGCTCGCGGTTCACAGTCTCCACCTTGATGTCCAGCTTCCGCAGGGTCACGTCCTTGCGGCCTGGATAGGGAGGGGCAGCCTGGACGCTCCGCCAGCCTCTGCGGCTCACCCCGGGGCGCCTGGGCCTGCCCGCTGGGGGCGCGGGGTGGGCGGGGGCCGTACTCACTGCCTTTGCGGCGGCGGTAGAGGAAGAACACCAGGGCGATGAAGAAGAAGGTGACCAGGACGCCTGCGCCGATGGTGGCCCCCGCGATGACGCCCACGGGCAGCACTTCTGCAGAGGAAGGGAGGGCTGGGGTGAGGACGGCGTCTCGCGAGGACCTGCAGGCCGGGCCCCACGCGCTCCACTGGCATCGGGGTCGGGGCCCTTCCCCACGCCTGCCCCTGGGCCTGCCGTCCTTCCCCACCCCGTGGCCCCACCGCCCGGGAGCGGGTTTCCCCAGCTAGGCCCCATGCAGGCCCCAGAGAGCTGCTCCCCACAAGGCCTGCCGGGGGAGAGGCCAGGGAGCAGGACCCCAGCTGCCCACACCCCGGCCGCGGTCACCTCGCTCTTCCAGCTGGATGATGGCCGTGCCCGGCCCAAAGCTGTTCCAGGCCGTGCAGTTGTAGTGGGTCTGAAAGTCGGCCTCCATGACGTTGTTGATGGTGAGGGTGGACAGCACCCCGCTGCCCGAGTTGGTCCGCTCCACTGTGTAGCGCTCCAGGGTCCCCACCTCCAGGAAGTTCTCCTTCCATGCCCAGGCCTGGCAGGGGGAGGGCAGGGGGTGATAAGGAAGGGTACCCTCAGGGCACCCTCGTCCTGCACGTCTTGCATGTCCTGCATGTGTCCAGCCTTGCAGCAAACCCATCACAGCTGCTGCCTCCAACCACGGCACAGGGTCTCCAGCCTAAGAGAAACTAGCTCCCGGCGTGCCGGGGAGTCGGAAGCGCTCAGACACACCTGGGGACACTCCAGCATGCAGATGCCCGGGCCCTAACTCCAGAGTTATGAAATATGAGCCTCCAGAGGAGGGGTCCGGGAAGGTCCGTGTTCATAGCAATCCCGTGAAGGCAGGTACGGCCGGGCCAATGCACCGCCGTCTGGCAGCCCCAATGTCCGGCCCCTGTGTGGCCCCCCCGTCCTTGCCTACAGCGTGACAAGCCCAGGCTCCGGGTCTGTGGTCTTAGAGGTTCACTGACCATGGCGCAGTCCCAGCCTCCTCCTCGGCCAACCCAGGCGGGGGCCATCCAGGCTCCCCCGCCCCACACAGCGGCGGCCCCTCCCCCAGGGCCCCTCCTGTGCAGCCGAGGGGCGAGGGGCGGTGGCCAAGCGCTGGCTCCCTTCCGCGGAGAAGGCCCCGGGGAGCCGTGCGCCGCCGCCTGCGCAGCCGTGGTAATGAAGTGTCCCCGGGCAGCCGCGGAGTTAGCCGAACGGCCGTTAACTGTGATGAGGGCCTCAACGGCTAATGGTCACGGGAGGACTTAATGGCGCGTGGTGTGGGGACGAGGGGGCGGGGGGAGGCAGGAGGGGCAGGTGGCAGGAGCCGGCCTCCTGCACCTGTTGCTGCACACTCCCCGTGCACCCTCCGCCAGGGAGCCTGCCCCGGCTGCTGAGGACCCAACGGGGCTGGGGAGCGCTGATAGCGGCTCAGGGTCACGACCCGGGTGGGGGGCGGGGGGGACTCACGATGCGGTCGGGGGGCGGCGTGCTCCCGATGAAGCACTCCACCTTGCCGCCGTCACCCCTGATGGCGTACTGCACCGCCTCACTGGAGATAATGGGCGGCCCTGCGAGCAAGAGGACCCGGTCAGGGCCGGGGCGGGCCGGGGCAGGGGGCGGGGGGCAGGCCGCCCCGCAGGCCGCTCACCGTTCACGTAGAGGGGCACCTCCCTCTCGGCCACGCCGATCCGAGGCACGATGGCGCGGCAGGTGTAGGTGCCGGCATCGGCCTGGGTCACGGACTTCAACAGCAGCTGGTTGCTGTTACTCAGGACCTGGGCAGAGAGAGCAGCCTCGGGTGGGGAGCCAGGAGGCCTGGGCCCCTGGGTGCGAGGGGGGCCCCGCATTGGACGCAGTGGAGAGAAAGCAGGAAGGGCCACAAGTGAATTCCCGGAAGGGCAAAGGGTGCATCCCCCGATCCCAAACGGAGCCGCGCCGATGCCTGCCGTCTCGGCAGCCTGGGCTGGTGGGGGCACAGCGGCCGGTGGCTTGGCGATTCCCTGAGGACACGACCTCCCTGACGCCCCTTCTAGGGCTTTCCCTGCCAAACAGGGTAGGCGGCTTCCCCCCGAAATCCCTCTCCCCGCGGCTCCAGCCCGTGCAGTCCGTGCTTCCCGCCATCCGGAGTGGACTCATTCACCCCGTCCGCGGAAGCCCCTCCGCCGCCCCCTGCCGCCACGGAACCGTCCAGCTGCGCTGCCGGGAGAAGCGGGTCTCGATGGCGAGCACCGGCTTCCGCGTCCCAGGGCCCTCAACACGCCCGGCTGCGGCCTGTCCCCACCGCACCCCGCCGTCCCACCTGCGACCGACTCCTTGCTCCGGGCGCCCGGGTCGGGCAGCAAGCGTCTTACCATGTTTGAATCCTTTTTGGTCCAGGTGAGGGTGAGGGGGGGATTGCCCACCCAGACGCAAGTGAGCGTCACGTCGGAGCCGATGTCCGTGGTCGTGGGCTTGGGGTCCACGACGATCCGGGGGGCAACTGCGCAGAGAGGAGCCCAGGCGAGGGTCTCAGCATCGTCGGGGGCCCGTGGGCGCCATCCTCTGTCCCTCTGCTGCCCCGGCCCCTGGCCCCACGGCGACCCCGGCCCCCCCGGAGCCTGCCGAGGCCCCTGCGGCCACTCACAGTGCACGTTCACCAAGGTGCTGACGTTGGTGCTGCCCACTTTGTTGTGGACCTCACAGGACACCGGCTCCGTGAAGAAGGAATAGTCCACGTTAGTCTCGTAGCGACTCTCGTGGGCATCCTCGATCACGAACCCGCCCTTGGCCCACCTGGGGGGAGGGCAACGCAGCGTGGGGCTCAGGGCTGGGCCCCCCCAGCCCCCCCCCAGCCCCAGCCCAGGCCCCATGAGCTCCCGCCCCCCGCCCCCCCGCCGTGCACCTGTAGCCCAGGATCTCGGGGTTGGCCGTGGCCTGGCACGTGAAGACGACACGCTCGCCCTCCTGCACCGTCTGTGGCTCGATGGACAGGGTCACCGTGGGAGGGTCTGCAAACGGGACGTGGAGGGTCTTTCCTTCTCTTCCCAACACACGGCCCGGGCATCCCCACTGGGCGGAGAGCCGGGAACTGGAGCCTGTAGCGTTCCAGCTCCGGGGAAGCACCTTCCCCACGCGACCCCGCAGGGTCCCGGCAACACTTCGCCCCCACACGTGGGTTAAGGAAACCACCATGATGACGTGTGCTCACGTTTTGCCCCCAGATCGCTTTTAGTTTGAAGTCTCAGGGAAGACCCTGCAGGCCTGGGTTTTAAGCCTCTTCAGGTTTACAGAATTGGAAACTAAGTCTCAGAGAGACTAGGTCACAGCCTGGGTCACGGGCTGGGCTGCACGCGGCGCGGGCCGGGTCCCGGGGCCCCCTGGGTGCTCCCCGCCCAGGATGCCCACTCACGGTGCACGTCCAGCTCGATGGAGGTCTCCTTGCCGGTCGGGACGGCCTCGTTCACGCTGCGGCAGGTGAACACACGCCCGATGTCCAGGTCTGTGGGGTTAATGAGCAGCTGGCTGACGGTGGTCTCTCTCTTGCCGTCCTTCAGCAGTTCCTGGGGACACGGGGGGGCACAGGGTCAGGCCACAGGCCGCCTAGGCTGCCATCGGGACGGCTGGGCCGTGAGCTTCAACAGGGGTGCAGCCCGCCCGCCCCTGCCCCCCCACCCTGGGCCCGGCTCTGCTCTGCTCCTCGCTTGTCAGCGTCCAGAGAAACTGGGCAGAAAGCGCAGCGGGTTCCGTGCACCGTCCTCCCGGACCCCGCAGAGTCCCGAGTGCGAGGCTGTGAGGTGTCCGCGCCGGGCGGCTGACCGCGGCCCCCATGCCCCGCCACCCCAGGGCCTACACCGTGTGTCCGGCGGCCCCCGCGGCTCCTCCACGTGCACCTGCCCCCTCTGCAAAGCCTTGGCGGCCACCTCGGCCCTCAGGACCTCCCAGCGCACACGTCCATCCGTCCTGCCCGGCTCTGGCCCGTGTGTCCCTCCTAGTGCGCGGGAAGGAGCGCCCGCCTCCCGACACCCCTTGGGTGGAGGGGCCGAGGGCCTGGGGGGCAGCAGGCCTCACCGTGCTGGCCACGGCGCCCTCCTGCTGCGTCCCGTCCCGGAACCAGATAATGGTGGCGGCCGGCTTGGCGTTGAAGGCTCGGCAGGTGAGGTTGTGCGGGGTGCCGGCCTGCAGCAGGAGCACGGGGCCGCCGTCGATCCTGGTGTCCTCGGGGGGGACTGTGGGGCGAGCAGAGCCAAGTCGGGGTGTGGCCGGCAGAGCCCCCACCCGGTGCCGTCCCTGCCTCTGCAGCAGGCCCCTGGGGGGGGGGCTCCCCTCACTCACAATCACTGTACCGCTCGCTCCCGGGGGCTTCGGGCCAGGCCACCAGCACGGACCCCTTGCGCCCCCCGCTCCTGTCCGTGCACAGCCTGCACGGCGCACGGGGGGCTTGGCCTCAACCGGGGGAAGTGGAGGAGCGCCCTCCTGCATCCCACCCAGTGGGCCCCGTCCTTGGGCTGGCCCCGAGCCACCTGCAGGCCGGCGCCCAGTGCACTCCCGGCCTCCTGGCATCCCCCACCCCCCACCCGGCGACACAGCCATCCCCGCCGGCGGGTGATTTCCTGCAGCGGAGTGAGAGCGGGCCAGCGCCCTGCCAGACACCTGCGAGGCCACTGAGCACCCCCCTCACGGTCCGGGCTCGCCAGCCTCCCTGCACTGGCTCTACCTGCACCTCTGCTGTACCCCCCAACCCCATCCCGGGCTCCCCAGCTTCCCCGCACTGGCTCACCTGCACCTCTGCTGTCCCCTGCCGTCCCCCCCCACCTGCTGCAGGGGCCGTCCCGCCACAGCCACCTGTCAGCGGTTCCCAGGCGGGTGCTCTGAGCGCCTCACCTACCTTGTGTTGGGGGCACAAGGTGACTGTGCGGCCCCCGCCCCACCAGGGCTGCTGTCCCCAGGCGCCTACCAACGGTGCACAGTAGGCCCCGGCTGACCGCAGGAGGGACTGGCTGGCTCAGATTTCCGATGCCAAGAAACAGGAGGTCCCCCTGCCCTATCCCCACAGGCCCCTGAAGCCCGGGTGATCGGATTACAGGCTCCTTGGAGGTAGGGCCGCTCCTTGCCCTGAAAGCCCGGCTGCCAGGGCGGGCGGCAGCCGGTCCCCGGGGATCCCAGCCCACCCAACCAACGAGCGAGGGGCGGAACACACACAGGCAGGGCTTCAGGGGTAATCTCCGGGTGCGCCCAGTGTTGGCCGGGCCGGGAGGGGCTCCGTGGGACACGCTTCGGGAGCCGGGAGGCCCCTGCAGGCTGGCGGGGCGGGGCTCCCAGGTAGGAGCCCTGGAAGGGGCCCACCTGCGCCCACCTGCACCGCGCTGCACTCGGGCCTGCAGGGGCGGCTCTCCACGCAGGCTGCCCTGGCCTCAAGCCTGGCCCATCTCCGCACCTGTCAGGGGACCTGGGGAGGCCCTGGGGTCCGGGCACAGCCGTGCCCAGCCTGGGGGCTCTGGGGAGGTGGCAGGGGGTGCTGGCCCTACCGTGTCCCACGTGCCCGTGCTGCCTGTGCGGCTCTCACGAGCCCGACTGTGCACCGAGGCCCGGGCTCCTCCTCCCGGGAGCACCTGGTCCCAGGCCAGCGCGTGCACGCGCGGAGACGGCGTGGGGAGGCCGGAGTGGACACAGACCCGACGCGGGGTCCACCCGGCCCGGTCGTGAGCCATCTGCCTCTCCGAGTCCGTGCAAAAGAAAACGGGGACACTGAAGCGCCTGCCCTGCCGCCAGCTAGAGGCACGCGTGCACGGGGATGCCCGTTCGCAAACACATTTTTATGATTTGTGACAATTGTGCATGTCAACACGCACACGCCTCCGCGGCCTCCATTGTCCTGTTTGTAAAATTTTAAAAAGTAACAGGAACCCTCCCCCAGGGGCGGTGCTGTGAGGTCAAACGGGGAGCACGGATGTGACGCGCAGGGCCGGTGCCCGCGGGGTCTCAGCGAGGTGCCCGAGGGCTGCCCGTGGGCTCCGTCCAGCCTCTGTGGCTACACCGCGGGCCCCGCGTGGGGTCACCAGGCCACCTGGGGACACCCCAGGGTCGTGACCTCTGCAGGGCCCAGCTCTCCGGACCCCGACACAGGACCACGTCCTGTGGCCCTCTCCCCGCCCCCGCCCACCCATCAGCCTGTCCCCCTCCCACCCTTCCAGGGGCTCATCCCGGGTCACAGATTCCAGGCGACGGGAGGGAAGAGAGGGAGCAGGACAGAAAGGAACGGGGCAGCCGGAGGACAAAGGGGGCGTCGTGGGCAGAAACAAGCCCTGCAGAGGCGGGGGCCAGGGGGCGTGTAGGGGCCGCCCCCCACTATGCCGCCGGCCGGGGTCCCCCCAGGAGGGACATCTGTTCAGGCAGTAGGACCCCAGCTCTCAGCCCCCGGATCACCCCCAGGGGAATCTTAGGGCCAGGGAGGGGGTCAGGGGTCTGGGGACCCGGTGAGGGGGGCAAACAGCCCCGGGTCAGTTGCTGGGCTGGACTGGGGGGGCCTGGAGCAGCCCCAGGGCAGCAAGGCCGGGCCCTGGGGAGCCCCGTGTTCCGCGGGTGGAGCCCAGCCCAGCTGGCCAAGGCCGCCTCACGCACCCGCCCGGGGCCCAGGCGCCCGCCCCGCTCCCTCCTACTGGACGTGGCGCTGGGGGCGTTTAGGGACGGCTGGGGGCTCCCAGGGCAGCGCGAGGCCAGGAGGAGGCCGGGGCAGGGGCAGGGCCGGCGGGGGCTGGGGCCTTACTCAGCACGGTGAGCTTGGCCCGCCGCGAGCGCAGGGCGGCCTCCGTGGCCTGGCACTCGTAGGACGCGTCATCGGACAGCTCGGCGTCCGTGATCTCCAGGTTGTACTGGCCGGCGTCTGCGGAGCCCACGACCCGGTACCGCGGCCACGCTGCGGAGACACGGCGGGGAGGTGAGCCCCTCACTTCCTGTCCCCACTTCCCGTCCCGGCCCGCAACCCCGCAGCCCTGGACGAGGAGGAGGAGGAGGAGGTCCCGGTGGGGCGCGGGCTCAACGCTCACGGGTTCCTCAGACACCGGGGTGAGCTGAGGCCCGGAGAGGAGAGGCGCTGTCCCGCGCACCCCCCGTCCTACGCACCCCTGCCCACAGGACGCAGGGCAAGGACACTGCCCGGAGGGTGCCCGAGGGCAGCAGGCTCCTCTGGGGGACGGTGGCTGTGCTCCCCACCCCCGGGACCACAGCCTCCCCTCCGTCTGCCTGGAGCGCCTCCCTGGTGTCCGTCTGTCTGAAGCTCTTCTACCTATAGGTCTCTGGGTTTCCCTCCGGGTCTCAGGCTTCCCGCTGCTTTCTCTGCGCCCGGCGGCAGCCAGGAGCAAGGGCAGCGCTTGGGGTGGGGGGCAGGGTGGAGGCTGGCGGGCACACAGCGGGAGCACAGGGAGGAGCGCGTGGACGCTGGGCCGGCAGGAGCCCACTCACCTTTGAGGCCCTGGCCCATGCCCAGCGCCAGCCCGTCCTTGGTCCATTGCACGATGCCCGAGTAGTTGAGCAGCACGCAGGGGAGCACGGCCCGCCGGCCCGCCACCACCGTCTGGTCGGCCGGCTCCTGGCTGAAGCGGGTCTGGGTCCCTGGCAAGGCCAAAGGGGCACCGGGTAAGGACACACGGGGGGAGGGGGCTGCACCGCGGGCCACCCGCCCGGCCCCACCCTTAGGTCCTGCTCCCCACCCCAGAGCCCCCTCCCTGCTGGCCCCTGGGAACGTCATGGGAGCGGAGGCACTCGGCCATCACAGACTGCGGTGCCCTGTTATGTAAGGGTCGGGCCCAGGCGAGTCCCGCCGTGTGAGGTACAGACAGGACACCGGGCCAAGGCGAGGGGGATGGGGGGATGCCGGGGCCCGGGCAAGGGGGACAGGTCGGGGGATGCTGCGGCCAGGGCGAGGGGGACAGGATGAGGGGGACAGGATGAGGGGGACAGGGGGATGCCGAGGCCAGGGCGGGGGTGGGGGAACACACTGGGGTCAGGGCAAGGGCGATGGGGGGACGCTGAGGCCAGCACAGCGGGGACAGGGTCAGAGTGCGGACATGAGCCTGAGCCTCGGTCCTCCCATCCGGGCCTGGGTCGTCTCACCCCCCCGCCCCCGCTCCCGCCTCCACCCCCACCCCTTTGCAGGTGCCAGCTGTGTCCTGGTACAGCACCGCTGGCCATCCCGGGGCACAGCTGGGCTCTGTACCCTGCCCCCACCGGGTGTATTGAGTGAGCCGCTGCCAGGCACACATGCGAGCGGCTCCGTGGGCTAGCAGAGGATGCACCCCGAGAACCCACCCCAAGGGTGCACCCCAAGGATGCACCTTGAGGACCCACCCCGAGGACGTGCCCCAAGGATGCACCGTGAAGACCCACCTGATGATGCACCCCGAGGACCCACCCAAGGATGCCCCCCAAAGACACCCCGAGGACATACCCCAAGAACACATCCCAAGGACCCCTCTGAGGATGCACTCCAAGGGCACACCCCGAGGGCCCACCCCAGGATGCATCCTGGGGACCCACCCCGAGAACCCCCCCAAGGGCCCACCTGAGGGTGTCTGCGCAGTGTCCAGGGCGAACCCCGAGCCCGCTTCTCTGCGCCTGCCCCGACTCTGTGGCAGGGGGGGTGTCCGCGTGCCCCCACCCCGCCCCGCCCCGTGGGAGCCCAGCGCGTATGACTGTTCTGCTCCCCTCAGCGGAGCCCCACGGCCGCGGCGGGAGCGGAGCCGAGAGCTGCACAGTAATTGCCTTTAATTGAGGAGCCCGAGTGGAGCGTGGCCGGGCTGCTGGCGGCTCCCCCAGGCGCCGCGGGAGGGGGGGCCAGGGTCCCCAGCTCATCCGCCTGTCACTGCCCATCACTGCTGAGAGCTCAGGGGGCTACTCCCGCCTCTTCCCTGCGCGCTCGCGAGTCCCCGCACCCAACCCTCCGGGGGCCTCTCCACGCCGCAGACCTCCCGCCGAGCCCCCCACTAGGGCCCCAGGCCGCGTCCCCCTCCCTGCTGCCTCCTCCTCCAGCGCCGTGTCTCGCCTTCTTTCCAAACCGGTCCCACGTCCCCTTCTTCCCGGAAGCCCTCCTGGATTGAGGGTCCCGAGGTCCTAGGCCATGCACAGCGGGTGCCCTCGGTCTGCACTTCCATCCCAAACGGGAACAGGCTGCACCCACGTCTCCGTCTCGGGGAGACCGCAGCTGCAGGGCGGGGGGGCTCCGCGTGCCAAGGTCAGGGCCGGCCGTCTCCGCCCCGAGTCTCCCTGGACATCTGACGTCCAGCTTGCCTGCTGCACCAACGGCCAGGCGGGGCAGCGTCTCCACCGCGGGGGCGGCGTCCACGGGCATCTCCGCAGACCCGCGCCCACCGGGCGCCCACGGCTGGGCCTCGGAGGTTGGGCAGGTGCCGAGATGGCGGGGGGGGGGCGGCCGGAGCGCAGCCTCGTGATCACTCCCCACATCTCCCCCCTTGTTACTCGATTCCCTCAAGCCCTGTGCCCCTCTACTGCGCCTGGAGCTGCGCCCCACATCCGCGGTTCTCCTTCCCCGGCTGAGCCCGTCCAGGGCCAGGGCTGGGCCTCATGCCCGGCTTCCCTGCGGGGCCCGGACCCCCATCTCCAGGGGGAGTCCCCAGAAAGCACCAGGAAGCGGCTCTGTCCGCGGGGAGCAAGCAGCAGCCGCCCCTGCGGCGGGAAGGAGGGGAGGCCCTGGCGGGCAGAGGCGGGGGGGAGCTTGCAGGGCAGGGCGGGCCGTGTGTGCCCGCTCACGCTCACGGCGGCGGTTAGTGCCCTGCGGGTGCAGGGCGGCCTGGGAGCCCCAGCACGGACGCCGGGGCCTGCGCGTAAAACCTGCTCCTGGTTGAGGCCATTGGGTCGGGGGTCTCCCTGGGATTGGGGCAGGGCACACAGTCAGTCCCGAGAGGCTCCCCAGGGGAGGCAGCACAGGGCAGAGCTGGGATAAGGAGGGGAGCCCGGACCCGGGGACCCCACGCCACGATGGGATGGCTGAGGAAGAGCCTAGAAGGTGAGCCGTGAGGGTCACCAGCTGGGGCACCGCCGCGAGGGCAGATGAAGGAGGAGGTCCTGGGGACACCCTCCAGGTCACAGAGGTGCAAGGAGCCGGTGCCGGTGGCCCAGCTGGCCTGGCGAGGACACAGCCACGGCCCCGAGGCCTCAGAGCCCCCAGGGTGTGCGCCTCTCACCTGGGGCCCAGGCATGGCTCCCGCTCCAGGAGGGTCTCCGGGGGGCCCCACCCCGGACCGGCGACACAGGCTGAGCCCGCGCAGAGGCCGGGAGGGCGAGGGACATGAAGGAGACCCGAGGAGAAGCTGGAGGGTGGTAGGGAGCGGCCCGGGGAGAAAGAAGGAGTGCGGGGGGCCGGGGCGCTCTGTGCCTCCCATGGGAGCCGGGCCAGGTCACGCCGCGGAAGCCCCGTCCCCAGCACCTGCCCCCTAGCTCCCGCCCCACTACTCCCTGCACTGCTTGGCTCGGGTCGCGGCCCTTCTCGAGCCCGCCTGGGACTCATGTCCTCGTGTGCACCTCTGTGTCCCCCACCCCTGGAGCCCCTGGAGGACAGGTACGCTTCGATTTACCTCTGTCGCCCCTTCACTCCGGGCAGCGGCCCCTAGGGACGGTGACTCGCAATCATAAGATCCAGCTACGCGCCAGGCACGGGGCGGACGTGTCACACACATGTCTACCATCACGATCGCTGCGCCGGCGGCTGTTCCATCCACTTTATACAAACGGGAAACGAGGCTCCAGGGATATAAGGTACGGACACTACCGAGTGGCAGCGATGAGCACGCACTCGGGGCGCTCGGCCCCATGCCACACCCGGGGACACCCAGTGTACGGGGCTGGTCCCCACTTTACGCCTCGGACTCCAGCTCGGCTCTCCGGACTTGGGCCAGGGTGCCCCACGCCCCGCGTCATCTCCCCTTCCATTGGGCCCAGGGAGCACAGGGGTCGAAGCCCACGTCTGATTCGGAACCAGAAGGGACCTCTCGCTCCGTCCTGCAGGCCGCGGAGATGCCTGCAGATGCTGCGACACACGCCACGGGCTCCATGTGGACACACACGGCTGTAACACGGCAGTCCACGCGTTCCTGGGCACCCCCCAGGGCACACCGCCCCCCGCACGCCCGTGGCCCGGCGTCCTGTCCCCAGAGCGCTGCCTGCCAGGCCAGCCGGGGAGCAGGGGGATGGGGCCAGGCACACGAGGCTGCGGGAGGGGCTGGCGGGGGCCGGGCCCTGTCTCCCCGGATTTATCAGCCGCGCAGTAACCCACACTCCGCACTCCAGCTTGCTGCTGGCTCAAAGGGAAGCCTGTGATTCGCCCCGACAGCTCTCAGATGGAACTAAATCTCCACACTCCACCCCTCCTCCCGCCACACTGCCCCCCTCCCCGCCCTCACATGTCGTGCCGCCGTCCTCCCAGCCCCCCCCCCCCGCCCCTCCTGCTCTAGGACACAGCAGCCAGGGAGGGCCCCGCCGTCGGCCTTGCTTATCTCCCGGAGCAAAGGACTGCGATCTCCGGCTGGGCCCGGCTGAGGGGGGACGGCGGAGGACGGAGGGGGATTCGCACTTTGGGCAGAGGAGCAGAGAAGGCGGGGAGGGCGGAGGCAGGGCCAGAGGGGCTGTGGGCGGCGCGGGGGGCGGGGGGGGGCGCGGCTCTGCTGACCTGGCGCGGCCCGAGTCCAGGCCAGAATCAGACTACGTGCCGTGGCCCCCAAGGCTCTGCCAGGCCAAGAGCCGGGGTCAGGAGGCTGGCGCAGGTGCCCTCTGGCGCGGCTGAGCAGACGTCAGGTGACGCGAGATCAGATGTGGCCCCAGACAAGCCTCCCACCGCCGCCCCAGCCCTGCTGCGCGGGATCTATCTCGCGGCATGAGGCGAGCAAGTGGCCCTGGGCGCCCAGACTCGGCCCCCGCTCCCCCGCCCGAACCGGTCTGCCCTCCCTCCCTCCCTTCCTCCCCCGGAGCAGGCTGGCCAAGCGGCCGACGCAGATGCAAGCTGGGGAAGGCACAGCCCAGGGGGAGTCTTTCCAGGGACCAGATGGGATTTTACAAGTGGCCACACTCTGGCCTGGTTTCCCGCGTCTGAACAGGCTGCGGGGCTGGCCGCAGGGCTGGCTGGTCCTCCCAGAGACCGCAGAGCAGTTCCCTGGTCTGCACCATCGGGCCAGCCCCAGAGAAGCAGGAACAGGAACCTGAGAAAGGCTGGGCCTGGCCCGGGACCAGCGCCAGGAGGGCACACGGCAGCCGTGGGCGGCCCTGGCCCCTCCAGCTCTGGGACTTCGCTTCTCCGGGCCTCAGCCTCCTCAAGCCAGGACGGCGAGCCGCCGGCCCCCAGGGCCCTCTGGCTCTGCTGCTCTCAGATCCTGTGGCATCACCTGCTCCCCCGGGGCCTCCGCCAGACCTTGCTGACCGTCCAAGGACTCGGCCCCGTGCCTGTCCCTCTTGGACCGCCGGGAAGAGCTGGTGCACCTGTGGCCAGCCTGGCGCTTCCTCCTGGCCAGGTTGGGGGGGCCCGTGGGTTTGGTTCAAGACTCAGATGGTGACCCCGCACAGGGAAGGAAGGATGGCCTCGGCTTCCCCTGCAGGGCGTTCCCCGT